CCCCAGAACCAAGCTCCGCACCATGGGTGACCGGGCCTTTTCCTCTGCTGCTCCGAGGCTGTGGAACGCCCTCCCTGACCACCTCAGGGCCCCACAGACTACTGATGTTTTTAAACGAGACCTAAAAACCTATCTTTTCACAAAAGCATTCTACTAAATGTCTTTTATGGGTTCTCCTTTTAACTGTTTATCGTTTCTGATCATTTTTAATAATTCTTTTAAATTTTATTAATTCTAACTGTTTCAATTAGTTTTTTGGTTTGTTTGTTTTGTTTTTTTTTATCTGCTCTGTAGCACTTTGAGATTGCTAAAATGTAAAGTGCAATACAAATAAAATTTATTTTTATTATTATTAAAAAGAAATAATCATATAAAAGACTGACAATAAAATGACTGATGGATCCAGGTCATTAAAAAAAAATTAAAATAGAAATTTCAGTTCTAAAGTGTATTGAATATTTAACTGCACTTTGCTGGTTTGTCAGTTGGAGTTGCTTTTTAAGAGATATTAAAGATGCTTTTATCATGTTTTGTGTTCCAGTTTCACTTGTTCTCAACAGAGGGAAGCTTCTTGGCTCCTTTATCTACAACACTGATGGATTTGCTTTGAATTTGAATTTGATTTGAATTTGTACTCTAAGCGTTTATACAGTTGTGGAGATAAGCCCTTACTTTGCCTGTTATGGTCACACAGAGGAGGCTCATCACTCACCACGTAGCAAGGTGCAGACAGGAGACCAAATGTCCATCTCAACTGAACTGAATGTAACTGTTTTTGAGTTTAAAAAATGAGAGGACAATATCTCGACTGATGTCCCTCTCTTTTACAGAAACATACAACAAAACAAACATTCACAAAATGATGTCACTCATATAAAAGATTTTAAATGTCAAAAGACTGATGGAGCCAAAATACCCGGCATTAAAATGTGAATAAAAAGTTTTTGGGGGGGTGCAGCCTATTTTTTGCATGTTAGTTCAAAGCTAAGTAGTAGCCATCTATGTACAGGTGTTCTACACTCTTCACACCTTTGGTTTTCCAAAGCTTGAAACCACCATCAGCTCCTCCTGACTTAAAATTATCACTGCACACTAAAACTCCTTAATGTTAAACTAAAGAACACCAGCCTACAGATGAGATGACCAGGCAGGCAGGCAAACAGTCAGAAACAATCAGCAGGGGAAAACAAAAAACTCACAAGAGACATGAACAGATGACCCAGAGCCCAGATGCTGTACACCAGATACGTAGATACATTGGCCGTAGGCTGGTTCCCGTGTCAGAAGAGCCTGAGACACCCGCACCAGATCTGCTTCACAGAACACATATGACAGATTCCTACCAGGTGTGACGAATCAGTCAGCTGGTGTCACTAATTAGATGAGATCAACTCTGAGGAGCAGAAGCATGTGTACCAGATCACAGTGACCTGTCATACAAGTGCTAAACCACTCAACATCAAAGACTAATTATATGTGTGTGTATGTGAGGATGTTGTGAATAGTGTAGCATGTCAGCAGCACTGATGATGGTCAAGGACTGACACGTGTGAAGGATCTGCATTGATGTTTAACAAGATGATAAAATAAAAAGCAAAATATAACTTGTAATACTGCGAGCAAAAAGAAATAATCATATAAAAGATTGACAATAAAAAGACTGATGGATCCAGGTCATTAAAAAAAATTAAAATAGGAATTTCACTTCTAAAGTGTATTGAATATTTAACTGCACTTTGCTGGTTTGTCAGTTGGAGTTGCTTTTTAAGAGATATTAAAGATGCTAATATCAATTTTTGTGTTCCAGTTTCAGTTGTTCAACAGAGGGAAGCTTCTTGGCTCCTTTATCTACAACATTTTGAATTTGTACTCTAAGCGTACAGTTGTGAAGATAAGCCCTTATTTGCCTCTTGTGGTCACGTCTACCCTCCAAAACGATCTCTTTCTTATGATGTGACGCTAACGTGCCGTTTTATTTTATCTTACACCCACTGTTTGACTCACCTATATAAGTGAGCTGTACCCAGACGTCACTGACCCACTGACAGGTGTTTCTGCTCTACTCCACGAGTTGACGGAGATCATCATGAGGACGCCAGTGATTGCAGTTTGGGCAGCAGTGTTGCTCACTTACGGAGTCTCTACAGGAATTGCAATGGTAGAGTACTAATGCTGAATGATGTCTTGCTTCATTGTAACTTCTGTGAGTAAGATGACCGTGAAACAAGATGATTTGTTCTTATAATGTCTATTGTTTCTTTAAAGGTCCCCAGTGGATCATCTCAGGGCCAAGGTAGATATGCGAAGGCCTCCAGAGGATCCTCAAAGGTCCCAAGTAGATATCAGAAGGCCTCAAGAGCATCTTCGCCGGTTGCCAGTGGATCTTCGAACATCCCCAGTGCATCTTGGCAGGCTCCCAGTGGAGCTGGGCCCTCGGCTGGGCCCTCAGCTGGGCCCTCGGCTGGGGCCTCGGCTGGGGCAAACGACATCCTTAGACTGGACATGGCTCCACACTCTGTTGACGACATGTACGATGGCTGCAAAGATGAGATGTACCAGAATCTCCAAGAATTACTGGCAAATGAGAAGAACACAAACGCCAAATTCAAAGCAGCCTGGGAGAGCTCAGAGCAATGGTACGACAAAAAAATTAAGAAATCAAAACCAGCCCTGGGGAAAGACCGTATTGTAGCTATTTACTATTACACCTTTGGCAGAGACAATGCGTATCTTGATTTCAATAATGCAGTTCGAACCCAGAAAAATGAGTACACCACCACATTTGGGTATCACGCACTTCACTTTCTCCTGACCGACGCCATTCAAACTCTCAGAGAACGCAGGCTCTCAAACCTCGCTCCGGGAGAGGACGAATGTGTCACTGGCTACCGCCGTGTTGACAGAACCTTTAACCAAGTCGTCAACACGCAGCTTCGATTCGGCTCTTTTACCTCAAGCTCAATGGGTCAGTACAACACGAACGTAGAGAGATTTGGAGACAAGACGTGCTTTGAGATTTACACGTGCTTTGGAGCAGATGTCTCCATCTTTTCTAAATTTGAGATTGAACGCGAAGTGCTGATTCCTCCTTACGAGGTCTTTAAAGTGGTAGGGGTGAAGATGAGATCTGACCATAAGGATCTTCCATGTGAGGTGGAATATAAACTCAGGAGCACAGGCACAAGTAGGAATCTGAATTGTGATCTTTTCAAGAAGAAACGTAACTGTAAAATTTGCAACCTTTTTAAGTGTTGCATAGGTTAAGTGTGTTCCGAGGTTAAGTTCAGTTCTACTGTGCAACAAGTGTTTAAGAAAAAAAAGTTGCATTAAAACTAATCCTTAAGTTGTGTAATTGTTAAAGTGGGTCTGTATTAAAATGAATATCAAGAATTTGTTCTGACAGGGGAAAAAGAAAAACAGGGGCCGTACTCAGAGCTTCCTCGGGCTAAAAGTCGCTGCTAGTGTTGAAATTCTAAGAAAATTCTTAGAATTGTGACAGTCTTCGAATTTCCCCTTAAAGTTAAGACTAGGTCTTTGTAAAGATAAAAGTTTCTCAGTGGGGAAAATGGTGGAAACACAAAGAGGTCAGAGAAATATTCTCCAAACACTGGGTGACAGTGAGTAAATGAAATGCTGCAGATTAGATCACACAGGTTGATGTCATTAGTATGCACACATTTCCCACCTGACGCTATAACCCCAGAAATAAAATGATCACGCTAAGATATTTGGAAAACTGTAAAAATGCAGCAGGGATGACTTAAGTCTGTCTCAACCCTCCATCAGCAAAGTGATCACACACACCAGTTCATTTCATTTCCACTGGGTGTTCACATCTCGCAGGCTCCCAAAAGCGTGTCTCTGACAACCAATCACGTGTTAAAAGAATCCCTTCCTTGCTCAGAGTTGCTTTGAGAACTTTATTAAAAGTTTTAGGCTCAGTTAGGAGCTCTCTGAGAGTGTTCTCTGGATGTTTGTGAATACGGCCCTGATGCATTTAAACTGATCTTTAAAATCTTTTGTGTAATTATTATAGTGGATCTGTTTTAAAATGTTAAAATGAATATCAAGAATGTGTAACTTGTAAGCACTTATGTTCATACATTGTGTTATTGCCTGTGTCACCTGTATTTAAACTGGATGCATTCTGTCCTACAGAGTTACTGTATGAAAAAGAAAAAAATAGAAGTCATTCAACCACCACCTGCTCCATCACTCTGTCTCTCACACACGGTGAAGAAACACCAAACAGGAAATCAAAAATAAACCCAGCTGTTCTTCATTTGTTTATTTTTTCACTTTCTTTCTTCAAAAGCAAAATTTCAGCTTGTCTCTGTTCATTTTTTTCTTTTTCTTATAGAAAATGGAAACAAAAATTGCCTCGTACAAACATTTAAAAATGACTGACAGAAAACCAATGACGTAAAGAAAGACGTGCTGTACAGATAGGTGAAGAAAGATGAACTCTTCCTGTCGTCTGTGAGTCTGCCTCAGCGCTGCTCTCCGCACTGTGCGGTCACATACAGCAGTAAACAAGCTTCCTAAGCTCACACTCTCCATTTATATACACACACTGCACTGGCAGAGGAGTGCATCACTGCTGCAGCGGACAAAAAGGCTAAACACGACAAGTGAAGTTTGTTGAGGTGTTGTTGGGGTTCATGAGCGCTGGGCCCTCGAAACCTGTCCTGAAGAAAAAAACAACGGATTTCTGTGCAGTGGTTTTTGCCCGGCGACAAAACATAAATGAGGGTGCCGACGAGAGAATGTGGTTATTTACAAAAGAGACACGACGTGAAACAGACCAAAATAATATATATAACATTCCTCCACTGGGCCCCTCTGATCCAACGTTCACATGATACCAAGAAAAGGACGATCCTACAGTCACACATCTCACTGAAAAAAACATTTTCTGTTGGATTTCATGAGTAAAAAAAAAGCTGCACCGCATGTTCACACTGTAACATAAGACAGAACGATGTGTTTGATTACCCCACAGCCCTGTGTGACACACATGATACACCTTGAAGATGAGATGCTGGAGCCCAGAGTGTTTTTTCCTCGAGCAGCTACTGATAGTTACACTAAATCTGGTTCAAACTGTGGAACAAGTTTACAGCCAAAGAGGTTCAAGTCTGCACATCAGAGTTATTAAAGGAACAGTGTGGACCTTATGAAGCAGGGTTGTATGGCGTGCTCATCCATAGTCAGTGTATCAACTACAGCAGATGTCAGTTGGCACGATCCCAGTTTGGAGAAGCAGGTTGGAGTTTAACATGGACGCTAAGTAATGTGCTTCTAGCCGCCTAAAAAAGACAATATAAATTTGATTTTCACTGCTTTACCTTGCAGTCACACCGATGTTCAACAGGGAACTGAAGCCGTTCTATCACTCTCTATAAAACCAGACTCCACTGAGAAGAACAGTGATTTATCATCACTGAACACAGGAGCTGCTGGTCTGCCTCCATCAGTCAGTGTGTTTGTGCTTCCCCATCAGAACGGACCGTCTGACGAAAAGGTAAAGCAGTAAAAATACTCTCAATATCACTTGCACTTCAACTGATACGGATTCTTTTAGGTGGGACTTTTTAAGGCTTAGCTTAGCTTTTGTTGTGGCCCTCCTGCTGCTTCTCCACACTGGCGGCTTCAGTTCCACATCAGGAATCACTGTAAGAAAGTAAAGCGTTGAAAATATTCTAAATAAAGCACGCGACCACAGCAGTACGATGCTGAGCTTCTGTGGTGGTACTCCTGCCTGTTTCTGACATCTACTGTATGTAATACACCGTCTATGGATACGTTCCTCACACAACCGCGCTTCAAAAGATCCAAGCTATGTGTGTGTTGGGGCTGGGTATCTGTGCTCGATACCTTTAACACATCAACCACAATAACCCAATACCACGTGGCATGAAAACTTCTCCAGTCAAATGATACCTGCATTTAATCTTTTCTGTACCCAGATCTAGAACAAAAAACTCGTAGTATGGTTTTGCTTGCAGCCAATCAGCACAAGCGTTGGCCCACTACCGCAGCAGCTACAACCCCGAGAGCCAGCATGATGTATGTGACAGAAAAAGGCAGCTCAGTGTCCCGAGATGCTACTGAAATGTTTGAAGGTATGGCTACACCACAGGCCTGCGGTATCTGGTGGCAATTTATGTGACCGAATGCTTCCATTCACATGATGGATGTGGTACATACTCTATTGGTACTGGCATCCAGTAATGTTTTAAACACCCAGCCCTGCTGTTTGAAGAAAAATAACTTCTGAGTGTTTCAGCCACAATCTTGCTGAACGCCTGCGGAGTCGACAGTGTACACAGTAAACATGATATAATCTGAAATGTCATGATGGTCAAAACTTTCCTGAAAACCGGAGTTTGCTTCTGAATTCTTTCAACGCAATAAAAATGTGACTTTTAAAGCACACTCATTGTGTCAAATCTGCAGCTGACAATTTAGCATGTCTGATCATTCTGATTTTAGGTGCTGATGAAGGTAAAAATGATTACAGTGTTTGTAACAATTGACGACATGATGAGGAACTGTTGTTAAAAATGGCTACCAACTTGAAGTGATGTCTGAAACAGGTGCAGACCGAGATGTGACTGATCAGTGCTGCTGCACATCGACAAGAGATTCCTGCATCGCTGAGACCTGATCGTTATTTTACTTTAACATTTTGTTCATGTGAGCTGTCAGAAAACACATTTTGGCTGCTGTGCTTCCTGTTTGTGCACAAATACCCTTCCTAACATCTCAACAGCTTTAAGTGCTCTTTTTTTCCTCCAACTTTTTTCCTCACTTAGACCCTTCTGACTCCATTTCCCATCCTGTGTTTCAGAATATAAATTTCATACCAAGTGGTGGTCTAACTTTGATTATCTTTTTTGCTGTGAACTCATATTTTGGCATTAGCACTGTCACTTTTTAGGACAGCCAATCTAGGCAGAAACTTCACCCACTGGCAGATTCAGCTTTTCAAAACCCGGCTGCACCTTTTGTCTGGATGCCCCTCGTTTCCTTCACGTCACAGATGAAGGTGTGTGGTTATTTCTACACTTAAAGGCGTCACTTTGGTACAAGCATATTGCTCCTTTACATCCATTCTGATTCATATTTTTCTTCTTCGAGCGTCTCACCTCCGCTCTCTCTCTCTCTGAGGAGGGAAACAGACTTGAGAGGGATTCACACAGCTGGTGATGCTGCACGTGGCGGGAATCTAACCTGCGACCTTTCTGTCACCTCTTTTAAGTTCATTTTTTTAAGTCCATGATCAGGAGAGCAGGAGAGAGGTGCATAGGTCAGAGAAAACACATTTAACAGGAACAAAGGACAGAAGACGAAAGTTCAAACTGAGATCGTGATTAGAAAAAAAACAAAAAAAAAAAGCTAAGCACCCACCACTTCTCCCGGTGAGTGACAGCACTGAAAAGTCCCAGCGCTTGAAAAGCTGTGGACTGGCTGTTATTGAAGTTCTCACAAAACACCCAGGGAGTGTGTTTCAGCTCTCAGCCAGAACAGCGTTTCAAGCTTCACAAGTTGAGGAAAAGGTCGAGCCAAACTGGTTTCATGATGAGTCCAAGTGTGTGTTTGTGTCAGTCTGTGTGTCTCTGTGTGTGTCTGTGTGTGTGTGTAGTAGTGTGTTATTTGTTGCGCAGCAGCTCCAGCTGATCCTGGTATTCGGTGAACAGTCTCTGGAATCGCAGGTTTTCAACGATGACAGGTAAAACCTCCCGCAGCAACTCGCGCTTACGTAGACCCTGAACACAGAAGAGGAACAGTTAGCGACATGCAGAGGTTAATGTGGCCGAGCTACCGTGGTCACAGTCATTAGCTTTGATTACGTGGGTCAAAAAATCAATAGACAATATCAGTAGACAACTGTGCGTCAACAAACCCCAGCCTTTTTGATATGTCGTCTTGGGACGTTACCACACCGAGTACAAAAGGAAAAATGATGGTGTGAAACAGCAGAGGCACTTTGTCAACCCAGGTGAGGACTGGCATTAGCATCAAGCTAGCAGAGATTATTATTTTCCCATAATGGAGGATATAAAGGAATGACATTTAACAAATAGTGGCGGGGCCTTGACTCACCAGCGTCGGTGGAAACAGACTATATTAGAAACAGGCCTTTACTTCTCATTCCGTCATTTCAAACTTCCTGTATCTAGGGGTAGGGGTGTCTCAATTCTCATTTGGAGTAAGAGCCAGGGCCAGACAGAGGGCTATGAGGAATTTTGCATCATCCACCGTGTAACCATCAAACAGCATTAAAATTGATATCATAATCACGGCACTCATGTTTCATGATACAATCTTACTGTATCTTACTATATAATGACAAAAACTCTGTGTGTGTCTGTTTCACGTTTTTCTCCTCACTGACTTGGTCAATCCATGTGAAATTTGGCACAGTGGTAGAGGGTCATGGGAGGATGCCAATGAAGCAATATTACATCAATTGGCCAAAGGGGGGCGCTATAGCAACCTATTGAAATTTCAAACTTTGAATGGGCATATCTCATGCCCCGTATGTTGTAGAGACATGAAACTTTGCACAGAGATGCCTCTCCTCATGAGGAACACTTTTGCCTCAAGAACCCATAACTTCCGCTTATATAGATTTTCCGCCATTTTGAATTGTTTGAAAAACACTTCAAATGGATCTCTTCCTAGGAAGTTTGAGCTATCTGCATGAAACTGGGTGAACATAATCTAGGGACCAATATCTAAAGTTCCCTCTTGGCAAAAGTTGGAAAACTTACTAAAACTGAGCTTCTATAAGGCAATGAATATTGCGGAGGGCGTGGCTCATCACATAAAGGTGTATAACATCTCAAGGGTTTCACCCATCACCACGCAACTTTGTAGGCATATGACCACACATAATCTGAGGGGACCCCTCCATTATTGACCCCATCAAACAAAATGGGGGCGCTAGAGAGCTCATTTCTTATCTAGGCCTAACCGCCATATGGATTTTTACTAAACTTGGTAGATATGTAGAACAGGACGCCTCAAGGTGACTGGAGAAATTTAACTCTAATTGGCAACTGGGTGGCGCTATAACAACAGAAAAATGCTTCAAAATGGCTAAAATGCGACCGATCGCTGTGGCTCCCCCTGTGGACCAGTGTTGGTGTTGTTTTCTAATGTTTGGTATGACTAAGTCATGGTATGGTATGCTGTACATAATCACAGAAACTGTGAGTGTGTCATTCTGTCAGTCAGTCATTCTGTCTGTCCCACGTTTTTCTACTCACTGACGTGGTCAATCTATGTGAAACTGCACATAGGCATTGAGGACTGGCATAGGTAGAAGGTGACAAAGCTACCAATGGCTATGGACTAGTTAATACAATGTTCGAGCAGTTTTGCCGACGTTAACATTTCGGTGTTCCTTTCATGTGTCATAACCTGAGGCGACGGCATTTTCGGTTGTTTGTGTCAACTCTTGTCACTTCTGCTGATGTAGCAGCCAGCTTGCGGGAAGGCATGATGACGCAAATGGTAATCGAGTGGTGTCTCATTTGTTGGGAGAACGTTTCTACCCCTAGCCTGCTCAACTCTGTATAGAGGGACAAGGGGAAGACGCAGACACAGGGGGAGGGGTAAGAATGAGAATTGGGATTCACCCTTTATCACATGCGATTCGCCAACACACTCAGATGGGTAAGAACAGACTTAAATCATGGGATTTCTTATTTTCCCCTCGAAGCTTATTCATTTTTTTCATGTATGGAAGACGAACTTTCTGAAAACGATCAAGCATATGTTTTGGGTGTAGATAAAAGAAACTCAACCAGCAGACAGACAGTGCTGCAGTCGTACCAGGGTGGTGGGCTCCCAGGCTGTGGAGGCTGATTTGTGGACGGGACCCAGCAGCTCCTTACAGAGTTCTCGGAGACGGTACTCTGAGCCTGGAGGGAACACACACACACTTCAGTCAACACTGAAACAAAAAGCAGACTCAAAACTATACGGTCAGTGCTGTGCTCAAAATGTTTTTCTTCTGTCAGTCTGTGGAAATCAGCGACAGTTTGGTACCTTCGTTGACGAGGAATCGAGCGTAGATGAGCAGCCAGTAGCGATACTCCTGCGCTGACTGCAGAGTCAGAGCAGACGCCAGCTGGTTCTCCAGGAAGGCCAGCGTCATGCTCTGCTGCAGGTGGTGAGGGGTGGAGGAGAGGCGGGACGCCAGCCGACCAGCACTGCAGGGACCAGAGAGATTTTTCATTTACCTCTTCGTTACATTTTGTTTGGAGCGAGACGAAAAGATTTAATAACTATGTCTTACTTGAGGTTGCGTCCCTGCATGACAGCCAGTGGCCCTGAGGACACAGGTGCATCGTGGGTAGGAAGGCAGCTCCTGAAGTCAGCACACTGGACCAGAGAGTCTCCTTTGTCTGCTATCAGAGTCCTGAGAGAGACACAGTGTAATTCCTGAAGTTTAAGTATTGTTGCGGGGTTTCAAAACATTTTATGGACAAAATTTCTAAACTTTTCAAGACTTTTCAAGGATCCATAATACATATATGTATTTTTTTTCTTGCCCTACTTGTTCGGCATTTTTCAAACATACCAGATTCAAACTCTATTGAAACATAATTTCAGCTAGCTGGCATACATGAGGGGAGAGACAAGATGTAGGGAGAAAATGAATTAAGGTCTGTGATGGTGAACAGTATGTGTGCATTACGTGGAAGGTTATCCACTGAAACAATTTCATTATACACAGCTTTATTACATAACAGGACTTTTCCAGGCCTGGGAAATGTGATTATGAAATTCCATGACTTTTCCAGGTTCCCCATGACCGTGGGAACCCCGTTGTTAGTTGCAGCTGTTTCAGCTTTGTGTTTCAACTGTGTCTCTACTGTCTCTCACCATGTCTCCAGCGAGGAGCTGAAGCAGTAGGACTTCCCGTTGGACAGCCCGATGACTGGAACTCCCTGCTGGGTCAGCAGAGACTGAGACACTGTGGTGTCAGCACCTACACGCACAAACAAAATATTTTAAGGGATATAATATGACTGGATTGTCCTTCTGATATAAATGGTCACATAATCAATATGACAAGGTGTGAAACAGTCTTCTTGTGAGGTTAAAATCTCTTTATGGATCATCTTCTTATGTACTTGTACTTTTGAAGGTATGGTTCAACATTTGCTTTCTTCCCATGGGTTAGATGGATATTAATCTCATGTCTGTGTATTAAAACCTCCCACTATTCTTTAAAATTCACCATAAACACCTATCTAAGGCATACCCAAAGTAAAATGAAAGCTGTTCTTACTCCATTTGTAGTACGTGTATGGTCTCATTTCAAAGGTAACAGTCACCAACAGTCAGAATAAGTAAGCGCTCCTGTCATTGTATTGTAGAAGTTTCAACACACTGAGGTAGAAGTTTTTATTAATCTTCTCCGAGAAATTTCTCGAAAAAAGATGCTGCAGATGACTAGAACTGGGAGGTAGCTGGAAAACTCTATGGGACCATATCAAGAATCCTCTTGAGTCCAAATTTAAGTAGATAATAATATCACAGACAACAAACATGTTTTTCTGCAGTTTTGTCCAGGCGCTTTTCAAAAAAAGAGGGTCAAACAATGTACTGGATGTGTAGCCAAGAGTGAAAAACACATATATCAAGATAGAAACTTCTATATAACTATATTCTATTCTTCTATATAACTTCTTATATGAAAACCTAAATTAATAATAAACCTTGGATTTTTCCCTTTAAACTGCAGAGGAACAATCTGTTAATTATTCATGAAAAATGTTACGATCTATATTGAAAGAGAGTGCCCAAAAGGCAGATGTTCTCCTGGTTGAGAATGTCACTGGCTTTAAAGGTGCAGACACACCAAACTGACATCAAAGAACTAGCGGTGACGAAAGCCAACTGTTGCGTCGTCTACGTCGCCTCACGTCGCCCTGTGTCAGTTGCATTTGAACACACTATACGGACTACATCCGACGGCCAAGTAGCACGTACGTTCTGCGCCTGCGTGAGAGAGAGCGGAGTGAGAGAGTGGTACATCCTGTCAGCCGAGGGGTTTCCTATCTGTGCAGCCGAGCACCGCAGCACCTCCACGGACTATTACATCCAGACGGTCCCGGTGTTTCCTCC